AATTCTCACCCTCATTACCTTTCAAATTTAGTCACTTGTCAACTATACCAATAAAGTATATGTAACACATAAATGTTTATTACAGCTTAATATTCATTCTATGCAATTTGGTCACCAATTATTTGTTTCTAAAATGGTTGATGTTACCAAGAGTTTCTGTTGGCTTGCATGAATTCATATAATGTAATATGTTTGGTTTTTACATTATATGTAATGTAATGTAATATGTTAAATAAGCTTTTGTATTTGCCAAGTTTAGTTTAGTGCTCACATTTGCTTTTGATGGAATTACTCAATATTAATATAATTCTTGTAAAGAATTCCTATTTTAAAGGACTTTCTTTTTCTTTATATTTGTTTCTTGACACATTAAATACAAGTGACTGAACTACAGTGGATTGTAGTTGCATGTTTGTGTCAAGGGAGGTGACATCAGTGTTACTTGTTCTCACCATGTTGCCATCATTGCCTGTCAGGATCAGTCCTCCTTTGTGTACTATACCAGGCTGGCTCATCCCTGTTACTTCCACCTCTTGACCCTTTGGTTTTGCTCCTTTGAAGATGGTTGACCCTAAAACTGTTACTTGCTGAAAAAAAGAGATAAAAAATTATAATATATCTAATATTATTATTATGTTTGTCATTATTATCATCTTACTGTTCAGTAGACAGGCAGTGGTGGAAAGCATTAATATCTTCCTAGAAACTCATTTTCTACATCTTATTGTTCACTTGTAATTATTACTTTTGCTATATCATTATCATTATCACTTATCCTTATTATTAATAATGTATTTCTACTGTTCTTACAATGCCATTATCTGACATTTTGAAGAGAGAACAGTGATTAGTATGTCATCAAAGTACTGTTAATCCTTTATAAAATGCTTTCTTTACTTCATGTATATGTATATGAAATTAAGACTGAACTCAAATGCACATTTTACCTGCCCATCTATAGTGGTCCAGGCTCCCGGTAGCTTGTCATTGCCACGGATGAAGTTATGAAGCACTTCCACTGGCTGGTCCCAATTAATCTGCACCGAACAAATATAACTTATTTAATGCTGTATCACTACATTTG